TTAATTAGAGAGCACTGGGAGAGAGAGAGTAGTACGGATGGGACACCAATTGTACCATATGTGCTGGAGTTCCGGGATCGCTTAGTACGGATGGGACACCAATTGTACCATATGTGCTGGAGTTCCGGGATCGCTTGGAGGCATTGACCCAGACCGTACAGGTCAACCTCCAGGCGGCTCAACAACGCCAGCGCAGATGAGGTGAGCCAGGGACCGCAGCTTTGAAGTAGGACAGAAAGTTTTAATTTTAAAACCTGTTTGCAATGACAGGCTACAGGCCATCTGGCAAGGCCCATACTAGGTGGTGGAACAGAGATGTGACACCACCTATGTTATTGGCCTCTGCTCAGGGGTAGGGAAGAGACGCATGCTCCATGTGAATATGCTCAAACCCTACCATGAGAGGATGGCGGCGATATGCACCTCAGCCTCTGAGGATCAGGAGAATCTTCCGCTACCGGACTTGTTAGAGCAGGAAGATCAGGCAGAGCCCTCCACAGGTGTTCAGCTGGGGGAGCAGCTAAGCCCTCAGGAGCATGCCCAGGTACGGGAGTTAATTGCGGCTAAGGGAGCCACTTTATCCAATTTACCAGGATACACTCCGCTGGCCACTCACGAGTTGAGACCCCAGGACAGCTACCTATACGGCAGACCCCCTATCGCATCCCGGAAGCAGTCCGGGACCATATGAGAAAGGAAATTGAGGAAATGTTGCAGCTAGGGGTTATTGAACATTCCGATAGTCCCTGGGCATCGCCAGTAGTGCTGGTACCCAAGAAGGATGGCACCACACGGTTTTGCATAGACTAGCGGAGGCTAAATGACAAAACAGTGTCTGATGCCTACCCGATGCCCCGGATAGATGAGCTGCTAGACAAGATGGCTCGAGGACAGTACCTCACCACAATAGATCTATGCAAAGGGTACTGGCAAATTCCACTAGCCGAGGATGCCATTCCTAAGTCAGTGTTTTTCACCCCGTTTGGCCTGTACCAATTTCGAGTCATTCCATTCAGGATGAAAAGCGCTCCGGCTACCTTTCAAAGGATCGGCTACTGGACGAGTTCCAGGAATATGCATGTGCATACCTGGAGGATATTGCCATACTGGGGTGGTCATTGACCATATTGGAGAGGCAGTGTTGACACTTAAACCCAGCGAATGTCATACCGGGATGGCAGAGGTACAGTACCTTGGGCACCGGGTAGGGAGTGGACAGCAAAAGCCTGAACCAGCAAAAATCGAGGCAGTGGCTAAGTGGCCTACACCCCAGACCAAAACCCAAGTGCTAGCCTTCCTGGGTATGACAGGGTACTACCGAAGATTTGTACCCAATTATAGTACTCTGGCCAAACCCCTGACTGACTTGACTCGCAAAAACCTTCCTCGACAGGTCATCTGGGCCCCAGAGTGTGATCAGGCATTCCAGCAACTAAAGACTGCTCTAACTAATGCCCCTGTACTTGCTGCTCCTGATCCAACAAAAAGATTTCTTGTTCACACAGACGCTTCAATGTTTGGATTGGGAGCAGTGCTGAGCCAAGTTGGAGCAGATAGCGGAGAGCATCCAGTAGCTTACTTAAGCCGAAAGTTATTGCCATGTGAAGTAAGCTACGCCGCCATTGAGAAGAAATGATTGGCCGTGGTGTGGGCCCTCAAAAAGTTACAGCCGTATTTGTATGGACAACCTTTTTCCTTACTCAAAGATCAGAACCTGTTGGTGTGGCTGAACCGTGTGGCTGGGGACAATGCCAGGCTGCTGCACTGGAGTTTGGCGCTGCAGCCTTTTGACTTCACTATTCACTACCGCCCAGGGAAGCAGAATGGTAACGCCGACGGGTTGTCCAGAGAAACTGAACTTGAAAAATGATCTGTGAGTACTCCTCCGGACATCCCCAAGCCAATCCGTTAGGATCAGACTGTGTATGCCGGCTTGGTTCTGGGGGATCATTGTGGCAAACCTAGCCACTTCAGATTATATGGCTGTGACTTTAAAGGTTGTCCGGAACACTGCTGCACTACAAGGTTTAAATGTATTCTGCTTACTGTGTGGAAATGTATGATTGCCTGTAAAACCTATAGCATTCGTATGCTAGCAGCCGAAAGCTGCTAGCATTCCCATGGTTGTTTCACGAACAGCCACTTTACCGGCTGTTCGTGAAATGAACCAAGTACCGAACCAGAGCC